CTGTGCCAGTTCTTGCAAAGGCTTAAGTCACTCCTCTTTAGCAGTTTCACAACATAGTCTTTCTTTTGATTGACAGGCACCTATGCTTCTTTCCACTTTCTACGGTAGCTGTGTGAACACCTAATCTGAGCGCTCTGGACCTGTGCTTTTTGAAGAGTTCAAATTGGTTCTCCTGCTTTCTTAGTTTTCAGTAACTTCTTAGCCTTATCGACTTCCGCCTCTGTCGGAGACGATAAATAAGCTAACTTTTCAGATTTCACACACATGTTATTCATATAAATAAGTCAAGCGCATGTAAAAATATAACCCCTTTAATCGAACTAAATATTTTATCGTGAACGTTTCACTTTCAGTCTTGGTAACTGTCTACGATACATCGGGACTACGAAATCAGTTTATGCTATATCTTCTTCTTCAACATCCACCAGAATACTGATGATGTTATGATATTTTCTACTTTATATTGCTTTCAGTGAATAAATTGTATTTTCTGATAAAAAATAATATTGCACTAGGAAAGTAGCACCGAAGAGCAGTTTTTATTATGCAGTATCAAGGCACAGATAACAACAACTTTCAAATACTCCCAATTTGAGTAAAGATATTTTTTAATTATTAATGCGAGCGAAAAGAACAGGTGAAAAAAGTTGTTTATCATTCAGGTTTCATGTGTTTTGTTTTCACAAGACATGTCATGATGACGTAGTACATTGTGTGACTATTATTTTAATCCATTGGTGATACATTTTCTTTTAGAACTTCTCAGTAAAATATGCATCATAATTTTGCGAATTCTTTTCATGATTACAAATTTTAAGAGCATTCCATCTAATGAAAACAAAACACGTAGTTCAGCGAACAGTCGCTTTTCGGCGAATTCATTTTCTTAGCTGTACAATTGCAAATATATATGAGTTATTTTGTATGTATGTGTACATTAAGTTTGTCCAACAAAAATACAATTGGTTATGGTTATTCTAACTAAACAGGTGAAATTAGTAAGTTTTGGGTGGAGTTACGTAATACAAAAGCGATCCAGAAAATTGGGTGTTAATGAAACTAGTTTAATAACAAAGATGATGAGTTGCCACAAACAGTTGTTTAGAGGGAGTTATCTAATAGTATGAATAGTTTGATGTTTGAGTTATACTCAGGATACACATAGGAACAAAGTAGAGAATACGGAATTACGCAAAGGTTCTAAATGAATAGAAGAATTATAAGCAATGCATTCGTTATAATGTATATATAATTGTAGAACCTGATGATGAATTTATCGAAAAGAGTACTCTTTGTTCCGTGTCCATTCTTTTGAAAATTAAAGAATAGGCAAACAAACAAAATTAAGTCATCAAAATCAACAAAGTTGTTACCATGATAGTAAAAGTGGTTGAGTAATTCTCTTTTGTATGCACAGTTCCGGCTTTTCTATGTGAATGGCCAGAGCTTCAGCGATACAAAGAAGACGAAACTATTGCCTTTAGTAGGTTATTTTTGACTCTGCAGATTAGTTTAAAGGAGGCGTTTGTTGAGATGGAATGATCATTGTTAACCAGGTGTTCAATTATCGCACTCCTTATAGCACCACTATAGCCTTTTTACAAACATGCTGGATAGTGTTCTTGAATCTTCTTGGACAGGGTGCGCGTCGCGCAACAGCAGCAGGTGAACTGATATATGCACATAGAAGTGGACAGGTGCGGGATCTTGTCCTTGAGACTTCTGCATATCACTGGGCGACTGGAGAGCACTATTTTTAGCGTTGCTAAAAAGAATGTTCTTCTCAGAGATTATGTGATCCTTCTCTTCAGAATATCGCTTGTTAAATCTACCTTGAAATCCAAGTTCATGTAGAGTTTCTTTTTAGGAGCAAGTGTAGTTTTATTTCTCCAAATTCTTGGTTTGATATTTTTTCAATGAATCTTATTGAGTATCCATTTTGGATGAAGATTTCACTCAGAATATCTAATTCTGCTTCTAGAACATCGGAACTACAGATGCGTCGGATGTGGGTAGCAAGTGATTTTATTAAATTCCGCTTTTGTTGAATGAGTACCCAGCTATAGAAGCTCGTTAGTTGACCATTCCACGTAGCTTTTCTATGGATCGATCTTCTTAGCCCCCCATCGGTTCTTCTTGTTAGTTCCACATCAAGAAACAGAATTTTTGATTCGTTTTCCATTTCAAGTGTGAATTTCATTGCTGGATGTCAGCAGTTAAATGTCTTCAGCAGTAGACTGGGATCATTGTTGATGTCACAAATAATGAATATGTCGTCTACTTATCTTTTGTACAGTCGCAAATTGTCAATGCTCGGCTTTAGCGGACCTTTCTCGAGACTTGCCACGAAGCAATCTGATATTAGTGGACTCAATGGAGATCCCATTGCAATACCATCTTTTTGTCTATAGATGGTGTCCTTGAAAGTGAACTGGACGTTCAGAGTGCATCTCAGTAGTAATTCCATCAAATATGCTGTTGGTATTCCAATATTGAGATGGTTATCATCTATATATTTTCATATAAAGCAGACCGTTTCCCTCAGTGGGACATTGGTGAAAAGTGACTCAGTGTCGAAGGACAGTATAATTTTGTTAGACACATTCAGGTCTTGTATGCAGTCGATGAACTGGAAGGTGTCACGGAGTGAGTTCGTACATAATTGTTTCCTTTCAGGTTCCAGAATATCTGCCAGGCATTTTGCATTAGAGTGGTAAGGGGAACCTGATATATCCAGAATCGGATGAAGTTGGAGAACCTTTGGTAGACCATAAAGTCTTGGTATTATTGAATTTGTTGGCCAGATCTGGTCATAGATATCGCTACTGATTAGTTGACTGGCCTTCATTCTCTTCAAGATGTCTGTAATCTGCTTCTCAATCTGTTCCGTTTTGTTTCTTTCATTGAAAGTTTGGGAAAATTTATCTTCGTTCGACAGTAAATTGTTCATTTTCTCGATGTAGTCTTTTCGATCCAGAAGAACTACACCGGCACTCTTGTCAAAGCGAGTTATTAGCAGGTCTTTGTTATCTATCAACTGTTTTAATTCTTCTGGGTGCCGCTTTGTTAGGTGGATGCGGACTTTTGATTTTGTATTCAAGTATTGGTGGCAGCAGTCGATGATTGTTGACCTGAATCTCTGTAGCTCGTCTTCAGAAGTTGGGATGAGATCGTTCCTTTGGTTGATTAGATTTTCAAACAGGACATGAGTATGAAGTTTGTCGGCGTTGAAACTGATATCGCGGAATTTTGGGCCGAGAGATGGGACTCCTAATTGCACGTCGGTTAAAGGTTCTGAGGAATAATTGAACACAGATTTTGTTGGTTCGTCAGGAAATTCACCGTGAGGTTTCACATGCTGTTGTTGAGCTGGGTTACAGCAGACTGCCAGCATTATTTTGCAACTAAGTTGATATATTCGGTGAATCCTTGACATTCGTCCGAAGTCAATTCGCATAGGGCAGAGGACCTTTGATTAATATTCCTCCTCTTTCTTTCCCACGGTCAACTACATAATATATGACAGGTTTTTGAAAACGATTTTTCCCATCCCCTTGTAACCATCTTTTGACCTTCTTAATTCTTACAATTCCAGCTAATTCTGTTAAGTCGTTTGAATTGTACGTAATTCTTCTGAGTTATCCTATTCTTCATTCCTAATCATCGTTAGTTTACAGATTTCTTGAATATATCATAAACTGTTGCTAACGCCTATGAATTAACTTATCTTGAATTTCGTAATTAATTTTCAACCCTCCTTCAGAACTTACATATCTTGTTACTAATATTTACTAGTCAGTTTTTTTGATGACTCTTAACCTCTTAATTTCACCCTCCCCCTATACCTTAAAGTGATTAACTAAAATAACCACTTGATTAGTAAAAATCTTGATGCAAAAAACGACATATTAGTATGGAGCTAGCTGATGTTGAGGAGCTAATTGAAAAGGAATATATTTCTTCGTTCAATCTGTTTTTTGCCTAAATGCGTGAACGGGGCAGATATTTGCCATTCAGCTTTTCCTTCATGAGGTTTCATAATTGTTTTTATACAGACTGATTGCTGCACATAACTGTAAGGTGTAACAATTTACAAGAAAGGAATCGGAAATATCTGTAAATATTTAGAATTTCTTTTTTTCGTAGCACTATCTAAGAGCTTATTTTTAAATTGATATAAGGTCGTACAACAACTTTATACGAAAACAATAAAGTACTTTAAAATGTTAAGCATCACTGACTAATCATAATCAGTGTCACACTGATAATACATTGCATCCCAGAATATACATTATCTAACTGTAAAAATAAAACTATTTAATTCTACATCATTAACTCCATAATGGTTAAGATTTAATTAGGATAAATCACACAGTGTTATATGGTAATATTAACTGATGACGTTTCGAGCACAAACTATTGCTCATAATCATATCAACTTGATATGTTTATGAGCAATAGTTTGTGCTCGAAACGTCATCAGTTAATATAACTGTACAACACTGTGTGATTTATCAAAATAAAATCTTAACCATTATGGAGTTATACTCTACCACAGTGCCCGAGTTTTATACTTATATCAATTCTACATCATTTCCTACAGATTTTAAAGTCTTACTATTAAAATGTCTCATTCACTTATTCGCGATACTTCGACGTTGGTTATTTCCAGAGGTTGACAGTTGCACTGTTTAATCTTATTTATTATACTGAGCTTACATACACACTTTTGCAACGGAGTCTGACTTTATCTAATCGGCATTATCTAAATGATTAGCTGCTTAATCGTTGACTTCTTTTGTGACGACTTAGAGGGCAAAACGTTGAATTGAAATCGTCAATGTTTTGTATTAACATCAGTTAGCCGGTTTACTCTTCGTTTGCGAAATGCAAATCGAAGTAACAAATTTTAATATACTTTACAAAATAATCACATGTTATTTACACCTGTCATTTTAGTTAATAAAAACAAAATTTAGTTCAGCTTATTTCAAACTCACATGTCGTCAAAACAGATAATAAAATGTAAAAATACAAATTTATTTTGTAATAACTTAATAAACAATTTAAATACAAAACAATATCGTTTTGCTGAAAATTTCATTTTCATATTGAATAAACATGAAAAATACGACAAAACACGAAGTATTGTGTATGCTTTATGCTGTGAAAATAGTGAAAACAATAATGCTAATTTTACAAATACTACTGATTATGTTTTAGTGTCTAACAAAAAACTGATGACATCATTTTACACAGTTAACAAATATTCCTGTTAAGTCTGCTTAGGTGGACTTGAAAATAAAAATAAAACAATATTATGCATGGTGAATTATCTTTAATAACCTGTAAAATAAGTGAGATAACGACAAGCATAATGTATTTCTGCCACTCATAATTTAATACGATTCTAGAAATCTAGCTGACGAAGGAATATCCATGCATATCATTTGAATTAACTTTTAAGTTACAGTCCATCAAGACTTTTGCCGGTTATTCACTGAAAATTCTTTGCTGTATGATTAGTGTTATAGAAAGTGTGAACAATCTTGTATCTGGTCGAAATGTTCACTGCATCTTATCTGAGAGGCATGGTTCTGATTTTATGAAGGATCTACCTAGTGTCGCTGTTTCTTTTTTGTAAATTCGTTGTGTGGAGATTCTGGAGCTTTTCCAAATTAACTAGGTTTTTATGAGAAATAGTTTTATACTGGCAGAATGCACTTAAGTCGAATAACGAGTGTCGGCAGTTATTCAACATCTATGCATATTATCCAACTACACTACGACACCAAGTGGCGTAACGTCTTCCTAAATAAACCATGGAGAACCAACTAATTTGGCAAGATCTTAGTTTTATAACCACATTCATTATGAACGCTGAACTGATATGCCAATATAAGAAACCTTTTAACGACAAATCATAAATAATGACAAACATAATCGGTTGTCTTCATTGTCTTAGTAAATTTCATTTATTTTGTTATTATTAATCTTTTTACTATCATTACTACTCAAGGTCTTATTCACATAATTATTACAATGTCATTTTTAGTTATGAGGAAGTATGATGGCATTTATAGCTTGAACAGATGACTAACCAAACTAATCCCTGTGCTTGTTTGTTATAACACACAACCACATGCTTAGCGTAAAGTGGCTTGAGATAATGTCATGTAAATCATAAATAAAATGCACATGATTTCAAATTAATTAGCTATCACAACAGTCCTCTTTTTGATGTATGATAAGTGAATGCATGCACGATAAATATGAGCGATATACCTGGTCGGAAAAAAAGCGTTCAAGCGACATATAACAAAATGCATAACTAGCGATCTAGAGAAAAATGTACTTCAAAGATTTTGTTTCGCATCGAATAATAGTGATGAGCCACAATTCATACTGACGGTCGTTACGCTCAACCACATCATTTCTAATTTTTAATCATTAAAAACTCACCTTATAAGGATCCCATAAGAACATCATGAAATGCCTATACTGTTTTGTAATAACAGCAGCCAAATGAATAGTTTCTTCTTTAATTATATTTAGTTCATGTGTTGACAGTACAGATCGAGTTGCATTTTTTAATGGCCGTTAGCCTTGATGAAAGAGATCTGTCTACAATGGCTAAAACTGACTGAGAAACGAGGTGTATTTCAATGTTTTATTGTTCAGCCAAGTAATTGCAGTGATTACACTGCTCTCGAAAAGAAACAGTGACATAAAAAACAGTTTTCAAAGTAATTAAACCAAAAGGATAAGTTATTACTTTGTAATAAAGGGATTCAGTAATTTGTTCAGTTAACTTGTTCACAATTTTTCTTAGGACGAATAACAATTTTAATGGTGAATAGAAGTTTCATCGTCTCAACTAGGAGTTTATCCTGTAGATTTATGACTAAGTTGTAAGGAATAACCTTGTTTTAGTGATTGTTAACGAAAATGGAGATGAATTGTACAAACACAGAGGACACCGTTGAATGAAATGATGCGCCTGGCCCTCGAATGGTACCCGAATAGAAAACCACAAGTAGGATATCCAAGGATGACACAAAGGATTTCGTGTTAGGGGAAGATGAAAGTTTATGAGAAATTGTAAAATTAGCGAAAGACGAATACAGAGAACAGGATGAAATGGAGATGTGTTGCTGAAGCTTTGTGTTACACTTGGAACCTAAGGGAATAATAATATTAGCATGTAATGAAGTATGTAACAATAAAACAACAATGCCAGTCACATTTATAATGGTTTATGGCAGTGTAGCTGCCTAACAGTGACACTAACAAGAAACACTGGAAACCAAAAGTCATTGGCTGTGACTTTAGGTATTCCATCTACTTATATTAAAGTAGCTCTTTATAAAAATTTCATTTTTATTGTTGTTTTAAAGTGTTTTCATGATCGTGTATCACGCTACATGAGTGCTGACGCCTGCTAAGACGCCTCAAACTTCTGACAGACCAAGAAAAACTGAGTATAATTTAATTAACTGGCACAAAACTCAAAAGTTCACTTCTAATATTCTAAATAGGCAGGAAGAAATGGAGATGGATTGGCCACAGTCTGAGGAAACCATCAAGTGACATCAATAGACAAGCCCTTGAGTGGAACCCGAAAGGGAAGCGGCGAGTTGGTCGTCCAAAGGTGACTTGGAGAAGGTCATGTGAAGAGGAGATGAAAACGTGTGGGCAGACTTGGAGCCAGGTGAAGACTCTAGCAGAGAACAGAAGGCAATGGAGACGCACGGCTGAAGCCCTATGTTCCTGTAGGAATTAAAGGATACAATAATAATAATAATAAATATTCTACGCAGACTCTTAGATTTGGAGTTAGTCCATTAAGACTTTCGACTTCAACAGTTGTGTTAAACATATGTGAGTGAACCTCATCTCGTTTAATTAGAAATGTATGCAAGTGTGTTGTTAGTCCTTTTAAAGTAGGTGTAATTCACACCATAATACATAAATCTAAGCGAAATTTCTATTTTATGCTCCTAAGCTAAATGTACGGGTGACTTCCATTAGTCGTCAGGGTCTATGGATCCCAAGACTAGAGGATCTGAAATGTGACAGAAATAGTCCAATAATATATAAATAAAATAAGTTAACTGCATTTATTAAAGGTGTCATTCCGCATCAAACTTTTAATTCGCTAGACAGCTAATGAACTGATTACAGCCAGAATATATATTATGCTGAAAAGATGCAATAAAATTTCATTGATGATTGTGAATATGGAATAAAATTTCTTTCTAATATATCTCTTTCAAGTGGGTCTAACTATCTTCACCCAATAAAGATTATACTACGTCTAAGCTCTAGTAGACATTTCCGAACACTTAATGCTTGGCATTTTGGTACATATGAGTAGAATGAAGAAGATATGCTAATTAGCAATGTGCGAACATCACATTCAAAGGAATTTAAATACTGAATATTTCAAACAATGTAGTCTTACTCTAAGTGGAGCACTTGTGTCTCTCAGTCATTAATCACAGTTCAGAGTTGCAGTATAAATATCTTACTACTGAAGCTTAAAACACTTTCAAAACATCCTCTTTTTTTAATCCTAATTCGACGACAGTTGCAGTTCTGTTTTTCAGATGACAAGAGTGATCTCAATTCATTTGTAACAGGCGATAGTGAAATACTTCATCATTAAGATCATTATTCTAATTCTATAACATCTAACCATACCAGAATGAAAACATTAGATTACTACTGTTTCTGTTCGAATTCGCAAGTAGCGCAGACTGTTGTGAAAACGTCAACATCAAGGAAATACAATTAATTCCATAACTTGAAAGATCAATTCAAATTTTGTTTAAATGGCACCCATACGTGCCACTATGTGGGATAACTGAGTTTACTTAAGATGAAATTGTATGCGGATGACATGTAGAGTTAATTTTTTAAATAAAGAGAGCTTAGATAAGGGGTGATCTTTGGGTAAACAATAGTTTTATGCATCAGTTTTCATCTACCACTTAACTTCATAAACTGAGAGAATCCAGGTCGCACTGCTGAGATTTGTAGCTGGCACTACTGGTTTCAAACACTATGAAATTATCTACCAAGCTAATTAGCATTGAGAATTTAGGACAGTATTGTTCAGTATCTTTTAATTTATTTCCTGTATTCTTGTTACAATTGAATCCGTTTCTCAGTGGTGGAAAGTAGAATAAGCTCAGTTGAGCTACATCTTACTTTGTATAGTAACATTGGTTGTTCATATATAATTTAAAATTAATTTCGCCATTTGTCAGCATGTAATCCACTGTCATTTATAAATTCTTCACATTTCAAGGTGAATTTATCCATGAACAGATCGTGATTGGAGGTCTGTTGAACAGATATTTTTTTGTGCTAGTCATGAATATTTTAGCAAACTGCACTCATGTCCTATTTTCACAAAGAAATTCACGTTGAAAGGTACTAAATCTTCAGAAATCCAACGGCGAACTGTATACTGAATGACTTTAAAATATACAATTAATGATGTTCTCATTCAGAATATCGGTGTTCTGTAGACATAACTTCTATTTAGATTCGTATGTTAATTTGTTCATCATTCTGATAACAGTAAAACTCTTTTGTTTACTGGAAGACGTTTCAGGCATAATTCATTGTGAAGAATTAAATTTACTGCTAATCCATGATTATATTTTATATCTTCTGTAGTAAGTAAGTGTATCTTAGTTTTCTGTTAACAATTTCTCAAAATAATTTAATGTAATGAAAACAATGACTGTAGACACTTCACTGTTGCGGAAGTGAGATAACGAGGAGCTATCTATGTCCAAGATATGAATTGAAAATTAGAGTAGGAGGGAAGTGAAGTACTTAAGCAACAGTCTTGTTTTTTAGTGTTTTCAAAGGTTTAACCGTAAAATATATTCCATATTTGCGATTCGACAACTTAGTGTGGTTGACTAATTGCTAATCCTGTAAATCACTACTACTCAGTAGTATAAATCTGTCAATTAAATTTCTTTGAAAATAATCTAAGATACAAACTACAACTATAGATATTCATAAGATCAAGTAATTCACAATGTAGTAATAATCAGGATTATTCTGAATGGACCACAGAGATTTCGCATTCTGCCGTTTTGAACAGTAGTTAAAGTATCAAAGTGTCAATGAACATTCTAGATGCAGCGGTTGGATCACTCAGAGGTAAGCAACTTGTCAGCTGGATTATACAACTATTGAATTACCCTGTACCAAATAACAGTTTTAAAAAATGGTTATCCACAGAAACTACAAGCAT